AGCACAAAGTAGGATACTGAACAGACAGACCTGGCTACACTGGAAATAATTTCTGATCGAGTTTAAAAGCAGTAATTGAACAGTCAGTTTCTTAATTTACATGACTAAGAGGATGCTTCAGTATAGAAGATGCAAATCAAGTTAATTTTGCCTTTATCCTCCATATTTACAGACTGTAAGCACAGCATTTCCCTTACTGTCTCATTAATTCATGGTCTGGTTTTCTTCTTGGCATAATTGAAGTGTTTAATATTCTGTCTTTTGAAGTACAGATGGAGGAATATAAAAATGCCTTCAGTTTCATGTAGTGGTCATACATAGGTGCCTGAGTTTATTAATAGTTACACAGCACTACAGAGCCAACAAGAGCTACACAGAGAAAAACCACATCACTTAAGATTATCAAAATGCCATACCTTCCCTCCTCTTTCTACAGTCTCATGAACTTTCTTCAAGAAGTCTCTTTCTCTGCAGCGTTTGGAATCTCTGATAGTTGTGGCATAAGTGGATTCACTTATTAATAAATCTGGGCGACACTTATCAATCCAGGCAGCACTAAAACAAAAGGAATTAAAAAAAAAAACACCACAGTCAAATTAAGAGATGGTATCTAGCATTTCTGATCTGCAGGTCTCAAAGATCGGTGGAGAATGTCGCTGTCTCCATTTGCAGATAGGAAAACAGGTACACAGATGCACATTGGCTTGCCCAAAGTCACCTAGGAGTTCTGTGGCAGCATCAGGACCCCTCTCTTTGCAGGTCATGCTTTCTTTAAATTAATCCTGCTCAGAATAGAGACTACAGATTTTGAAAAGCAATTATTCTCCAGTCTATTACTTTTTTAAAAGGCATTAAAATATTCTAAATAGCAGGAATATTACAAATCTCTCATATATGCCAGTAAAAATAAAATGAACGTTAGAAGTTTGTGACTGGCACTGTCTTAGAAAGTAAATACATTTAGAAGATACCATGACAATAAACATTTCCATTATTCCACGGCCTTCAAAGTAGATTAATACGAGTATACAGAAGATGATTACATTAAGGTCTACCTGGAAGAATCAATGTAAATCTGTTCATTCTCATAATTCAAAATTGCGTTTATCTTTCCAGCAAAGACATCATTAAATGTTCCAGTCTCCTAACAAAGAATCAATGCCGATAAGCCCCTAGTATTAACAGAAGCTGCCCTAAAATCTTCCTGTCAGAAATATACACAATTCATGGAAACTCAGCTGCCTACTTACCCTAGATGTCTGTCTGGTGTCATGTTATAATCACCCTAATGACAGAAGAGAAATCCATTAATATTCTCAAGGTAACTGGACAGGCCATTAACAGGAGATGTAGGTATCTATAAATGTTGTTGTGCATACTTACAGTGTACACAACAGACTCGCATCCAACCTTAATCTGGAACATGGCTGCTCCTAGCACATGGCCTGCATAGTACGCCTTGATCTCCAGCTCCTCATCCACCTACGCAAACAGGCAAACGCTGCCTTAGTGCACACATTTTAAAAAATGAAAATTGCTCTGCCTTCTACAATGATCCAGTTGGTCTGAGCCAAGAGTATGCAGAAATGATCATTTACCTGAACTGTCTGGTGAAGATGCACAGCAACCACCTTCTTCATACAGTCTTTAATCATTTGGGAAGTGAAGAAGTTAGTTTCCCCTTTCTTATCTACAGTTATTTTTCTATAGTCCTCCAGGAGGATGGGGCAGATTGCCTTGGTAGGATGTGTCATGTAAATGGGCCCATCATAACCGACCATTTCACTGAAATACGGTAAAGCTCCACAATGGTCCAAATGAAAGTGGCTGCAAAAAGACACAAAGGATAAAGGAGATGCTGCACAGGAACTTAGCTTGCCTGGTTCTCAGACCTTGCTTCAGATTTTTAAAGCACTGCATGACATAGAGGAACTAGCCAAAATATGAATGATGAACTTAGAACATGTTTGGGTTGCTAGGGACAGTATACAAAGATTTCCTGTTTCCCATTTGAGCTCTGACAAGGAAAGAAGCTCCCTCACCTGATGATCACGCAGTCTAGAAAGTCAGTCAACCTTCCATTCTGAGTGATATAGGAAAAGTCAGGAAAGCGTCTCTGCAAAGGCATGAAAAAACAGACTATATGTTACAAAACAAAGCCAGTTAATACTACATTACTTATCCAACAAACCAATGGTGTGAACAACCTGCAACACTGGAAGCGGGCTGTAACCCACCCTGAGGCAAAACTGCAATAAGGCAGCAAACAGCACCAGTGTCAGCAATGCAGTAAGAGCTGCAGGAAACACCATCAGCACTCATGTGCGGAATGAATCAAAGAGAAAAAGGATGGGAGGGCTGCCAGAGGACAGACAGGGAAACTGACCTTGCAAATAAATAAATTACAGCCAATTTTATCTTCAAAGTAGAACAGGTGACCAACGTGTTTTAGCTTACCCACAGGCATTAAAGGCAGAAAAGCCTCAAAACCTTTTCTGTAATCGCACAGTTGCTCCGTGTCACGCTTTAACTCCTATCTTGCAGAATATTTTTGCCGTTATTCCTTTCCTACTAGTATTGGGTGACCAAACATCATGAGTGTTTCCTGGCTCTCTCTCTAAAGCATCTCTAGATGCGTGGTATGGATTCCACAAGTAATTAACTGCCCCAAACGAAACATCATGTCAAGAACAGTCTAGATAATGACAGGATTAATGCTTTAAAGCATAGAAGATACCTGCCTATATGAAATACAGAAAGCCCAAAACCACCAGGAATGGAGCATTCACAGCTTGCTTAATTTTTTTTTGGAGTCCACAACTCAGGGAAAGGACAGCTGGATGGTGGCACTTCATAGACCAGGAATACTTGAAGGGATGTACCTCTTGCACAGGAAGGCAAGATTTTGAACGGGCAATAGTAGTTCATTCTCTGCCATAATCCGTCTCCAGCAGTGGTTGATACAGGTGCCAAATAACACACACCTATCTGATATTACCCCTACATCACGGAAGATGAATCAGGCAAAGTTCAAATAAAAGGAAACAAAGTGGACCACTGAACCAGGAGCCCTGCTGCGAAAGGCCAGGCAGATGCACCTTGAAAGCATCTCTACACAGCATTCAGGGCTTCTCCACCATACTCACATCATCATTGTAGCCCATGTGCATCCCACAGTCAAGCATCACATTTTTCCCAGCGATAGACACAAGGATACAGCTGCGCCCCACATCCTGGCCAGCTCCTGGACCAAGCAAAAGAAAGACAAGTAAGACATCTCTGGGAACGTTTACAATCACTTCAAAAGAGAAGCATTTAAAGGTCCGTAAAAACTTCCTAGCCCTTTTCTGATGCAGGAAAAGACTACGTCCTTTCTTCCAAGCAAGCAGATCTGTTGGGGGGTGAGCAAATGTGAACTGACTTACCCCATTCCCTGAGCTTATGAGAGGACCTTCCAGCTGCAGTTGCAAAACTGCAGTAAATACAGCACTGCATCCAAACCCATAAGCAGTTCAGATGCAGGGCATGTTTGTTCTCTGCCTGCTGCTATGCAATCACAGCTACACAGTTTCAAGTAAGAGCAAAATAATCTCTTATCTGGAAAGGATTAGCAAGGAACTCAGAGTTCCCAGGGCCCTGCACCTCCCCAAGTACTCTGCCTCTCACTGAAAGCACAGACCTTCAATAAGCTCTAGTTAAGCCCATACCAAGGCAGAAAACTATCCGTCAGGATAAAACAGTTCTGCTCGGCACATCCTCTGCCCTCTCAGTACATAAATACATCTCAACAGTTGCTGTGCAACCCAGAAAAAAAGAAAAAAAAAAAAAAGAAAAAGAAGAGAAAAATCTGTTTTCTGTGGCTCTTTAGCACTGTTAAGTGAACTACTACTTTAGCTGTACTGTACAATACTACAAAGCCTTTACCAGTATGTATTAGTGAATCCTGTAATCAAAACAGAGTTATCAAGAGTGTTTGAGTCTTACTTGCTTGAAAGACAAACGGAGGACAATGACATACTGACACGAATCAAGTTAGGATGCTGTGCAACTGCAACACATATTGCAGTATACCACCATGGCCAGTTTCTGTGGCACGGAAAGGCAGGTATGTCTCCAGCAGTCTAACACATATTACGTTGAATTCTCAATTCCAAAGTTTTTCAGTGTGTCTATTTGAGGACGATTTTAGATTGGACTTACCCAAGGGAGTGACTTTTATTTCAGGCATTTTAACAAACACTAAATCTCAACCTGCATGGCAAATTATTTCAGAAACAGTCTAACGGGGGCCACAAAAAGAAGAGAAGATTTAGCCGCTTTTGCAGCTGCCATTCCAGTTCTTTTTCAGTATGAGGCAGAAGACTCAAGCAGAGGCGTAACTTCTTCCTAGAGGGAAGACAGTCAGAAAACACAAGTCAGATCAACACGTGGATGATTAACAACGCTTGGAAATTCAGGCCTGCTTAGCTTCGGTAATCACCGTCGCCACAAAGAACCAGTAAACACAGCCCAGGAAGGCAGGAAGGGGG